GGCAGGCGCTTCATCCTCCCTGAGATGTCAGTGCACAAACCCTTGTTGTGCTTCTGGTTCGCTTTCAACCGCCTGTCCTTGGTACCCTTTCCGGCCAAAACCTTTTGTGGGGTAGCCACAAGGTCCCATCTATAGGGGTTGGCTGCATCCAAGTGAAATTCATAGCTTGCCAAGGGGAGAGCGAGGTTCCACAGTGCTCTCTTATTTGGATATAAACAGGAGAATTAGTCAAGAGGCTCCAACTGTGCCATTCTTTCCTTAGCTTATACGCTGAAGTAATGTTTATGCTCTTAAAAGAGCTCTCAGGCAGCTCGCTGAATCTGATCCCGTCTTGGCCCTGCTTTATGGGACTGTCTTGGCCTGGGAATAATAGCAGGAATCTGGTTAAATAAATATTTTGGATGAGAACGCAACACCTGTTGATATCTTGGACTGTGGGTCCTCGTACTGAGTGCTGGAGTTACAAGTAGCTGAAGTTTGTGCCCTTTGTGGCATTAACTCCATGAGCAAAAGTGGCCATGCTGGGGATGGTATTTCCAAGCGTGGTCAGTAGCTAATGGACTTTGCTTTCAGCATTATGTAGTAAGTGTCCACAGCATGCAGTGTACTGCAAGCAGCCCATTCCGTTCCTCTTCTCCTTTTCTTTGCTTGGGGCAATGAGGCTGTGAGGTACAACCTAACTCAGCCAGAAGTGGCTGTGGGGCAGGAGTCAGGCAAGAGGCCAGACCTGACTGCGAGCTCAAGCTGAAATCATGTGCTGGTTCCAGGTCTTTTACCACTGGTGTCATGAGAGTGAGTATTTGTGTTGCAGTGCCGCAGAACTAACTGAAGTAGGTTGCAGAGGCATTTTTTTTATTGTCCTGCTTTATAAAGCAATCCTATTTTCCTGTCACGCTACCACACCTTGTGTGTGCTGAGAGATCGCTGCCATGATTTGTGTGCTCAGTTCAGTCACCCGAGAGGTGTGTCTGCAGCATGTGTGGTGCTGGTCGGAGAGGAAGCTTTCATCATCACACAGGTGCTGGGGTGAATTAAATGGCTAAAGAAGCAGCCAGAATGCTGGTGGGCTTGCTCTGATTGATGGAGGTGTCATCACTTTTTTCCTAAGATCATTGACTGACCTAGATGGATTAAAGCAGTGCTTGTGTTTCCAAACTGAAGCACAGTTACCTGTCCTGTTATACTCTGCTGTCTTATCAGAGCCCCATCTACAAATGCTTGTGTGTAAAAGTCAAAAAGAGAGGGGAAACTAAACTTATCCCCTTGTTACCTCTCGAACATCTTCCTAAACAGTTTTGATGTTTCATTCTGTCTATCAGTGAGAGAGATGAGATGAAAAAAAAGTGAGACCTTGTGGGTCTGTGCAGTTCTGTCTGTGATATAAAGGCTGCTGAAGGAAGTGGCAAGTGGAGGATCTGGGAACGCAGAAACGAGTCTGAAATAAGGCTGCTGCCTTCTTCTGTGGCCACCAAGAGTTAGTTTTCAGGAAACACAGGAAGGGGTAGAGAGTGTTCTTCTGTAGGCTTTGTGGCAAATGATGAATATGGTGTCAAACTGATAGTCCTGCTGGGGAGAAAAGGTGAACCTTATGGCAGGAGCCCCACAGCTGTGCAGCGGAAGGGGCAGACAAGACAGCAGAACAGAAGTTCCTGTCTGATTGATTTAGGGCTGTGTTGTACTGAGAAGATATTTCACAATAAAGTATTTCTCATCCACGTTACCATGAGGAAGATACAGCACCGCTGTAAAATGGAGAGATGAGGTTTGGAGACAAACTGGTTAGAAGTGATGTGACACTAGAAAAATACGTTTAATAATTTAGTGCAACTCCTGTTATTAAAAAAAAATGGTAAAAATCTATTTGTTTTCTGAGAACAGCATGCAGTGGCAATGGATCTTTGAGTTGTATAATCCAGTATAAGATATTGCCATCATGTTGCACAGAAAGTTGTAAGTATAATGTGTTGGTTGTTAGAGAGTGATTTCTAGTTTCTCTGCCTAGAAGTGATCTTTAAGCCTTCCATAAAAATAAACAATTTCATTAAATATTATGAGAAAAATTAATGTGTATTATGTAGCTGAGACCCTACTGTGACGGGTTTGCATCACACATTGTTTTTAGTATATCTAGAGTAAAGGGATGGACATGAGTGAATTGGGTCTGTTTTGTAGTCTGGAGAAGCAGCAGACACTTGAAGGAAAAACTAGGACTTGCTTAGAACAGGAAGGATTTCATGAGATGTCTTTTACCCATTTGTATCTTTTGTATATGTTCTGAGCTGCTGAGAGAAGAGACAGTCAAATCAGTCCTCTGTGTAATTCTGAGTCTCATCTTCTTCCAGTATGCACTGATTTTTTAAATAATTTTTTTTTTTTTTTGTCTAATCAGTAATCTTCAGAAGTTCTACTGTTATGCTGGCTGCAGATCTTACCCTTTTTCTGCATCAACAGAAACATTTGTGTATTCTGTTCTGAAATTACACCTTTAAATATGGACACAGTCATTAGTTTGTCAGAGTGTTTCAGCACTTTCAAACATTTCTATAGCAAGGCTAAAGTGTAAGATCTGTGTATGCAGCTGTAGCTGCTGTTGTTCAAGCACGAGCTACCTGCAAATACTTGCTTTCCTATATTTAAATCAAATATCTTTATTGCAATCTGCAATTTTAAAATTAGAATAATAGAATGGTTTGGGTTGGAAAGGACCTTTAAAGGTCATCTAGTCCAATCCCACTGCAATGAGCAGGGACATCTTCAACCAGATCAGGTTGCTCAGAGCCCCATCCAACCTGACCTTGGATGTTTCCAGGGATGGGGCATCTACCACCTCTCTGGGCAACCTGTGCCAGTGTTTCACCACCCTCACTGTAAAAAAATCTCTTCCTTATATCTAGTCTGAATCTCCCTGTTTTAGTTTAAAACCATGTCTCCTTGTCCTGTTGCTGAAGGCCCCGCTAAAAAGTTTGTTTTTACACTGCAATTTTTACACTTTTTTGTAAGCTCTTCCTTACATTGTTTTGAGACTTGTCTCTGCTTAGGTAATGGGTTGTTGGCTGTCTTGTTTTGTTTTGTCTGCTGCCATTAGCGTGGATTTTCAAAATCTCTGGTTCCTGGCTTGATACCTGCATAACGTAGATGATGAGCACCTTGTGAGGATACAGTCTCATTTGGGCCCATAATAGGTGGATCACCAAAGTTACTAGTCAGTCTTAGAAAAATTAAAGTGGTCTTTAATTGTATCTGGGATGTTATAGGATTATTATACCTCTTGTCTGTGTTTTGCCTTTTTACTAAATGAGAAGTCAGTAGCCGATGGGAAGAGGAAGAATGGTGTAATCAGGGGCAAGAGGGACAGTCTGAACGAAGAGGAAGACCTCGAACAATGTAGCAAGGGACTGGAAAGGTTGAGAGCCTGTGACGAGTGGGCAGGACCCCAGCCGGACAATTGGCTTTGTACAGCATTGAGGGATGGTAGGAAATTAGTCACTATGACTCATGAGAGTTGTACTCTGCTGTTATTAATGGGGCTCAGAAGCATTTGTGTTAGGGTAGCCATGAGGAACTGTGTCTGTAAGGTGCAAGGGGAGGAATTCCCCTCTCCCAGAAGAGCTGGCAAACCGAGGCAGCTTGTAGACCAAAAGTGGGGGCGTTAGGAAATGGCAGGGCCATGGTACTGCACCTGAGGGGAGCAGCTGCCAGTGGGTCAGCAGCCTGTTCAACCTTTGTCCTTGAGGTTTTGTCAACCTGTTCAAGGAAGATGTAGAAGAAAGGCACAGTAGATGGAGGATGTTTACTGGGAGCTCTTCCTAAGGGCTGGGAACCACTGGGCAGAAAGGCAATTCCCTTGGCAACTGGACAGATGCAAGCTGGCACCAGTATATGACTGGGGGCCAAAGGGGGCACACTGATAATGAAGGCATGAGGAAGGATGAGGTTGTTGAAAATGATGACAAGGGATCTGTGAGTGCCCAAGGGAGAAGGGAGCGGAGGAACGGAGGAGGTGTTGTGGGGGAAGGACACTAGTGTCAGGAGCCGGAGCTGGTGGAGGCCAGGCTTGAATACACTCGTCCAGTGGGGAAGAAGTTGCTGCTCTAATCCCAGTGTTAAACAATGAGACTCTGAACAGAGCATCGGCTACCTGAGTGGCTAAGGAAGCTGTACCTTGGAGATGCTGTGATGCTGGAAACTATGCTTGAGACGTACCCTGGTTTAAACGATCTTGTGCCTGTGACAAGGGGCATATCCGATGCTGGTTTCCACACTGGTCAAAAAAGGAAAAGGGAAAGTACTTGTGAGTAGCCTTATTTTGGCTGGCTAGCTGCTGACATGGATGTCAGGGAGAGATGAGCCAAGAATGTCTTGGAATGAATTCACACAAAGCCACTGAATGGAGCTGTCAGAATCTGTGATGCCAGCATTTTAAAATCTTAAAAAAAGACCGGGGGGGAAGAAGAGCCCCCTGAAAGATGGAAAAGAAAAAGAAAAAAGTACTGAAGAAACTGACAATAGCCACTGCAGGATTAGTCTGCCCTGTTAATGCTCCTACTGTCATCTGGGCCAAATTTTTGTTGCTGAGAAGTAAGTAGTCTAGCAGATCTTCCTTTTCCCTTTAGAAACGCAGATCACTTTTATGGACAAGGTTAAATGGAACTACTCAGATGGTAACAATTCAACACGTGCTTAAAGTTTTGGAAGATTAATGTTTTGGAAAATGGGAGCTCAGAGGGGAGCAGCTGTGGTAGAGTAGAGCTGGGCTGGAGATTTGCACTCCAGGTAAAGCAGCATGAGACTGGTCATAAATAAAGTAAATCCAAAGTCTGTAATGACCTCTGGTGTTCTACTTGGTTGTTTAATGTGGCTGCTTATATCTAGAGCAGAACACCTTCAGTATTCCCTGGGCACCACTAGACATCTTTCTTATGAAAGTTTTCACTGAAAATGAAAGAGTTGTGCCCAGAGTTTACTGTTTTTTTGGACCCTTTGCAGACCGCTTGTCTCATGCGCTGCAGTTTGGGGACCACTGCTGTACCCACCTGCCACAGCACTGAGATAAGTCTCTGTCCTGGGGTAGGAGTTGGCTCTGGCACGAAGGTAGATTGTTAAACGTGGCATCCAGAGCATAGTGAGCGCTGAGAGAAGAAGCTGCCTAGCAACCCTGTGGGCATGGGGGGAATAATCCTCACTGCTGAAAAACTTCCTCATGCTTGGTGGAGCCTCTGCAAGGCAAGGAGATTTTTCATACCCCAATTAACCTAATACTCAGCTAGGTTTTTAATTTTTTTTAAATTAATCATTAGAATAGAGTGTATCATGGTCCAGATAATGTGATTTGAGAGAACAAAACAAACAAAATGAGACCTCAATGCAGAATTTTTCAGGCTTACCCTGCAACTGAAGAATTCAGCTGGCACTTGGCCGCGGTAGAGACTGGCAGGCTTCGGCAGGCGCCAAGGAATTTCCTGAGTTATGAAAAGAGAGCGCTGGGCACAGGAGAGATCGCAGATAAGGCAGATCCTAGAAAATGATTGAAAGTGGAATTCTTTCCTGATTAATTGCTTGATGTGGAAACCACCTAGGTTTCTGACAGCCCAAGCACAGCCAGAAGGCCGAAAAAGGGAGAAGAGAAACATGTAGAAAGGATATGATAAGAAAGTGAGATATTGAGACTTTCAAGTTATTTTGGTGGTAAGCTTAAATCAGTTATGCATTTAGAGTATTTTATTAGCTGACTACTTTTTTAGTTATAGTATTAGCAACTACAGTCTGGTTGGAAAACTGAGATCATCTTTATCTCAGAAATTCAAGAATCCCTCAGTCTTCTATAAATAACAACAGAAGCCTTAAACAGAAGGGGAAATATACATGATAGTACATTTTTCCCACTCCATATGTAAATCACATGGGCTCAAATACTAGATTTGATGTAGTGGTTAAAAATAAAGACAGATGGAAGGGAAATACCCTGTTGATGGAGGGTAGTGTGACATGTCATAACTTCTAAATACTATTTTGCTACTTTAAACAATACAGCTTTTGTTGTAATATGACTGATAATATTGTTTTTTCTATTTTTAAAATTTTGCACTTGATTAGCTCCAGTGGCTTAATATTAGCATATGACAATGAAAATATGTATTTCTTGTGGAAATGTGTGCTTCTCTAAAAGAAAGTGTAACTTTGGAGGTACATAGAGAGGAATTCTCCTGTGAACTGAACTTGCATCTTGGGCTATCTTTGTGGCATTTTATGCTAACTAGCTCTCAGGCTCTGCATGTCTCCTTATCATACAGAAGGAAAGTAAATGTACTTTTTTGCAGGGGAAAAGCCCAGACATTTTAAGTGTGTGGTATAGGTTTGATTTCCTAGGCTTTGACAACTTCAGACTTTCACTTCTTTGTTTTGCAGCTACCCATCTCAACCACTTCATGTCTGCTTGCCTTTATAAGACCCACTTATAAATTTTCTGCACATTTTTTTACTGCTTTCTCTTTGCATTGTTTGGGTCTGGTTTTTATAAATTTTTATGGTGCACAATGAAAAAGTAAAACATATGCCAAAATTCAGTTGCAGTCTGTCCTATCTAGTTGTTGATTTAAAAAAATAAATACCGAAAGCAGTATGCCTTTTCAAAAGATGCAATCTGGTTTACATCTGCCTATTTTTTTCTTTTTTACCTCTATTTTTTGGTTCTTAGTTACATTTTTTTCACTGCAGACCATTCCTGGGCATGTGAAGTTAAATCCTTAACTCAGTTCCTGTAGCCAGTACGTGGTCTTCAGAGGCTTAACTCTGCATCACGCCAAAGGGAGCGGGCTCCCAAGTGACAGCGTGTTTAAGACCCGGTCAGCAGCATCTTACAGGGCTGACCTGACTTGAGACAGTATTGACAACGAAAGGGATGGTGCTTTGCCTTTCTTAGGAAAGTGCTAGTGGCACTGACTGCTACCCATACCCGGGCTCTGCCTTCCTGTTGTTGGTTCCGAGGCATTAGTTCATGCGTGCAAAACTCAGCCCAAGTTGAAGAAGTTGAGATGCGTTGCCTATCAGTTAGTTTTCAATAGTTCAGTACTTCCTTAAAACTAATCAAGCGTGTAGCCTCTTCTTGAAGGTCATTTCTCAGGAACAGACATGAGTGCTGGTGAGTGTTAAGCTCTTGACATAATTTATGCAAATAACTTTTTAAAATAAAAAATTGAGAAGCACGCCTAAACCCTTCCTCTTTCTATAACATCACTTTTCCTTTGCTAACTGAAACATGGAGTGACTGTTGAGAAGCAACCTGAAAGCAAGCAGATGGGAGAAAGCCACTGTTAATGGATTAGTCAAGCTTTGGAACAGGCTGCCCAGGGAGGTGGTGGAGTCACCTTCCCTGGTGGGATTTAACAGAGGGGTAGATGAGGTGCTCAGGGACGTGGTTTAGTGCTGCACTTGACAGTGTTGGGTTTATGATTGGACCTGATGATCTTAAAGGTCTTTTCCAACCACTACGATTCAATGATTCTGTAATGCTTTAATGGAGCAGTCATTTCTTTGTAAAGTAAATGGACATATTGAGTTGTTTTCTTCATTACTTGTTTTCACCAGATGGTAGATATAATTTCAAAGGTTAAGTGTTTGTAGTTGTTTTCCACAGCTATCTAATTTCACTCTGTAAATATCACTTTGGTGTGTCTGCGTGCCTGTCCTGGTTTTCAAGTGCATATGTGCACAGAGGAGCTTCAGTAGCTGTGTTTGCACTTCCGTAGGAATGGGCCATCTGTGATTGCATTGCTTCTGTAAACGTGCAACCGCCTGGAGCCATTGAATCCTTGGAGTCAACTTTTTTAGTTATGCTTTGTTTTTTGACAAAAATCCTCAGGGCAAAATTTGTGTTGACACGGAAGTGTCACTTTGCACATGATTTTGCGAATCACAAGTCACCTCTGGAGGGAGTGCAGCATGGCTAAGGCTGACAGCAGTGTCACTGATTTCTCTTCTGTCCTTAGGTCCTTTCTCATAACTTGTGCACAGTGTTAAATGTTCCCCATGATCCAGTGGCCTTGGAAGAGCACTTTAGGGATGATGATGAAGGACCAGTTTCCAATCAGGGTTACATGCCTTATCTAAACAAATTCATCTTGGAAAAGGTAAGTTTTGAATTCCTGTGTTCTGTTTTTCCCTTTATCAGGCTTTTTATTAGACTGTCTTTACAGTAGACTTCTGTTTGCAGGAAGCATGCTGGTGTGAAGACACTCTGGTTTTGAGTTTGCCTGTGTGGGGTTGTGATGGGGCTGGCCTTGGAGAGCTCGTGCCTTAAAATGGAAGGATGCACTGTTCTGTACTTCCTTTTTCTCTCCTTGGTTTCTATTTCCTGTTACATCTGGTCGTTGTCTAAGCTGTATTCATGCAGAACTGTGTTTGCATTAATAAAGCACCTCAGCTTGAATTTATTTTAAAGTGTCTTGGGGCTATAGATTGTCCCACTTTATACTATGGCTATAACAGAATATTGTCAGACTCCTTTGCAAATAGGAAGGGCAAAAATATCTTCAGTGTCTGTTCACAAGGTATTTTAATAAATGAATCCCTTCAAATAGTTACAGTGGGTGACATTAGGGTGTATTGGTAAGTTTTGTCTTGGAAGTTCTTTCCTTTCATGTCTGAGCACTCCTCAGTCTTCTTTTGTGCTTTGTTTTGGGGGAAGCTCTGGAAAGCCAGCAGGGCTTGAAAGTAAAAAACTATCTTGTTTTTTTTTCTGACAACTTTTGTTGAGAGACTAGTCTGGATGATAAAGACCAGCCCATATGATAGTGCAAACATATCAGCTTCAATACAACTGACTTCTTGTACATTTGTGGGCTGACCTCAGAAACCCTCAAACTTTGATGTTGTGGCTGCAGAGATACATAGATGTTTGCTTTCTTTTATCATGTTAAGGAGCCCTGAACTGACGTGCTGCTGAAAAGTCCAGTGCAGCAAATGCAGATTATGCAAACTCCTTAGCCTGATCTGGTAATTTTTGCTGCTTCTTTAAACTTCATTTAATACTGGTGGAAAATGTGATAAATATAATGCAGTCTGGCAACTTGGTGGCAGGAGAAGCTCCTATATCTTCCTCAGACTTATCTCCTCTGCCTCTCTAATCTGTGTGTCTCTCATACCCAGTAATAGAGTCCTGTTTTACATGTGGGAGTTGTTGGTTGTTAATACACATAAAGGTACCTTTGTCTTGGTTGTTTGATCTTGGAGAATCTAGCTTTGTCCCTAAGAAGTTTGTGATCTCATTTCCACTTTGCATTGGCTGTCTGAGCTCCTGTAAGATTCAACAGAGACCACGGAGTTTGTATACAAATTTTTTTGGGAAAAAAAAGGGCTTACTTTATTTTGACCAAAGGATTACAGTACTAGAGTCTGAACCACAGTGGGTTTTGTTAATACTATTTGTAGGAAAAGTAGCAAGCCATTAAGTAAAAGAAAAAGAGCAATGGAAAGCTTTTTCAAATATAAACAGCCTCATTTTTGAAGGATGAATAGTTATGGAAATGAGGAGCAATTGCATTTAAATAACACCTTAATTTGAAAATTAAAGACCTGGCTACATAAGCAAGTTGGTGTGAATTTACAGTGTTTAGCTACTCTGGGGCACCTTCTTACCCCGTGGTAAAAACAAAGGACAAGCTACTTTGCTTTCTCATGAAAGGAACGAGGTGACTGCATGTAGTTTCTGTGTTGTTTTATTCATCGCTGTTCTGGCTTCCGCCAGTTGCCTGATATGCCTGTACTGTTAGTTCATCTTAAAAGTTGAAAGTGTTAAGCAACAGGATTAAACTACCTGTAGCTTCATGTTATTTAATCCTGACTAAATGCTTGTAAACTGTTTAGATATGTAGTATTAAAAATTAGTTAAATTCTTTAGACAGAAGGCTAATCTTTGTGGACTGGAAAAAGTCTTAATTGTGCCATCTCATCTTTTAGAGATGTCTTTACGTCAGTGCCAAAGGACAATATGCAGCGGGATGAAGTCACTGGTTCATAGCATGTCTCCTTTGTTGAAAACAGACAAGCAAAAAAAGCAAACAAGAAGCCCCTTCTTTGTCATTCTTCCAAGGCATAATCTGTTCTTTTTGATGAGGTGACTGTAGAACAAATACTATTAATTTATGCTAGTAAGCAAAGCTACTAAAGAAGGGCTGGTGCTTTATACCCCCAAATACAGAGAAAGTTCTCTCAATTTCCAGTCATACATCTTCTGGTGAATTAATTGATTTGAGCGAGGGCAACCTGCTCAAGAGAAATTTTTTTGATCTCAAGATATTTTGCTTTAAAACATTAATAAAATATTTAAAGAATGAATCCTTGGATTTCTTTAAAACAGATAACTAACTGTGACTTACAATTTTATTGAGGGGACTTTGTAATCTTCTGAAATAGCTTCTGTTGTACTCTTAAATACAGTTGCAGCTTTTTATATTTTTTAGTGCTGGCTTACCCTGTGTTACTCTGGAATAAAGCCTCTTTATGTAGAACCAATGAGTTATCAAGAAAGGCACAATTTGCTAGTTTAATGAGGCAAATTGGTTGCAACTAATTTTGTTTATCCAAATAGGGAATTTGAATAAATAGTTGGAATAATTAGATTTCTAGTATCATGCTGCTTGTTACTTAGCAGACAGATGTATCTAGGATTTTCCTGCAACTGAAACAAAATCTGTTCTTGTTCTGTAAGTGTCCTTTTCAGGAGGGAGCTGACACTTACCAGTATAATCTCTTCATAATTTGTTTTACTTGGTTTCATAACCATATCTTAGCATGTTCCATTATTTACCATGTATGCCTTTTAATACCAAAGGAAAATGTTTCCTTTTCAATGATGGTGATGGTGGTATTTTACAAAATGCCTTATTTATAGCAGGGAAGTCATAGTGGGATGAGAAGACAAAGAAGGACATCATTCTAAAACTCAGGTTGTCTCATCTTCCAGACAACTCAGTGAATGCTATTTACACTGCCAATGCTTGTTATATTTTTAGAACTGATCCAATCACTGGTACTTAAGCCAAATATTTTCTGTATTTCCATATGTTTTAGAGTTAGTAGGATATTGATGATGGTAAATTACACTTTGCGTGTTAGTAGAAATGAAAGATCTATAAATTGCATGATGTTTACTGCATTTTTCTTTTGATTATGTTGTGAAACTTCTTAGAAAGGGAAGGTAGGTGTCTTTTATATATCATGTTTTTATCCCTATGAGTTTAAGGAGTTTTAAGGTTGGAGGCATCGGTTCATTTGCATGTTTTGTCATTTAGACAGATTCACAAATAAAAGTGGTAGGTGCTGTAGAGTTAATAGTCTGGAGTACTGTAGAAGTTTCCCAATGAAATGGTGACTTCAAATAATTTGAACAAATTATGAAGTACAGTTAAAAGCGTCTTCTAGTGCACAGGAAAGTTCTCTTGTACAAGGGTTTGTTCATTAATTAAGCAACAAAATTGTGTGATATTCAGACAGGCTGCAAGCAGGATGAGTATTCTGGCCAAACACAACTGAAATTCTGTTTTCTCAATAGTGTGTCATAAATTTCTTGATTTTAATTTCACATCAAGATTATTTCAGTGTAGAATTCATAGTAGTGTCTCACTGTAATTAAAGATGTGTTGGGGAATCCTCTTTAAATTTATATTCCAGGGTAGTCTTTGACCAACCTGTTTTTATAAATATGTGGTTGTTCATGTCATGAAAGAGCTATGTGTGTATTTGACTATTTTTTGATATCAATACCTCCTGTTTGAAAATTTTCTACTTTTACAGTTTCTTAACTGTTAGAAGTACTTTTACGAGTGAGTTCAAGTATAACTTTAGAAACTGTTTAGATATTTTTAAGTTTAGGAATGTGTATTTGAGCACTTATCAGACTGGATAGAAAATCATACAGTTTGCAGCAGTGTCCTTGAAGCATCTAAGATGCGTGGTTTGGCCTGTCGTGAGAGAATGTCACTGAACATTACTGGTGGTGTTACCACAAGAGTTACAAGAACGTGTTTCTTAGACAGGCTTTCCGAAGCATTACAGTGCAGAACATGCTTATATCAGTTACATGTTGGCAAAGAAATAACATTGCTGAGCTGTAGGGAGATAAATAGATTTGAAGATTTAAAAAGAAAATAGAGGAAATGAAAGCTTTTGCATATGTAAATAATTCACAGATGGGTATGTACAGTTGCTAGGTATGATAAAGGATAACAAAAACAAAAGCAATTTTTTAATAGTAAGGTGAAGATTTGCAAGTCTGAGAAAAAGGAAAGGTTTTAAATAGATTAGTGTTCAAGAAAAAAAAGGATTGCATGTTTATGAATATCCTACAAGAGTTACGCTTGGGTAACACGAAGTGTAAAAGCATATTTAAGGTCTTTCCCAGCTATTTTTCCAGTATCGCTTTTAGCACTTCCACATGTAGTTTTGCCTGTAGTGGTTTCCACATTTGCTGTATAAAATCTCAGTAACTCAATAGAAGGGCAGTTGGAACAAATACATTCTGAAGATAATTTGGAAGCTAAAGCTAATATGCTAAAGGAGATACAGAATGCAGCACAGCCTCCTTCACATGAAGTCAGGGTGTTATTAACTTGACCAGAAATTGGAGGTTGGGTGTAGATTTTGTTGGAAGAAATTCCTCAGTTGACCCCATGCAGGAAGTCAGACGAGGCTGCTACAGTGCTCTTTTTTGGGCCTTGACACTTCTTGCAAACTAGAATTTTCTCTGTGCTTTTTGTATGCCTTGGCCTGTTAAACTTTGTCTGTTATTCTGTGCCATTCATACATATTAATTTTTTTTTGTTCAATTTCTTCATTTCAGGTTCAAGGAAACTTTGACAAAGTTGAATTCAACAGGATGTGCTGGACTCTCTGTGCTAAAAAGAACCTCTCTAAAAGTCCTTTGCTGATTAGTGATGAAGATGCATTTAAAGTGTGGGTTATTTTTAACTTCTTATCAGAGGACAAATACCCTTTAATCATTGTACCTGAGGAGGTAAGAAACAAAAACTTTAGCTGTTTAACACCAGTTTGCTTAATGTCCTAGTTGAACTATGTTAATGTTTGCTACTCTCTAGAGATTTAAGAGAAAACAGTTGTTTAATATAAAACTTTTATTCCCCTCTTTTAATCATGTCAGGCCTCGGGTGCTTTTCTTTGTCTTCCAGGGTGCATATGCAGGGATTCCCACAGGATACTTTACATATTGATGGCTATGCATGTCTGTCATCTAAACAGCCTGGACTAAATGGGATGTGCTTCTTGCCCCCCAGTAAACAGTTTATTTTGCTTTTTGTGAGGACTGAGGGGTGCTGGGGTGACCAGCTCTAATAGCAGCACTCGGAGCTGTTGGGCCTTTTTCTTCGCTTCATGAGTAGTGCACGTATGTGGTCTTTCATCACTGTGCTTGCTTAAATGTGATCAGAATTTTGCACAGTTAGCACATCAGTGTGATTCTGAAATAAAATTCTCCCCTCTGCTCTGTGTTACTGTGATTTGCAAGACGAGTCTTCAGTCTCATGTCACCCTTGTGATGAAAAGGAGAAGTACGAACTTTTCTGATGCTCTCTGTGTATCAAAAGCAGCCACCACCTGAACGCTCTTGCTTGAAAGGGTTGAAGGAATAATACCAGTGAGATCTCTTTAAGTTCATGAACAAGTATGGGCAGTGCTCAGATAGGTATTTTAACCCTAAAGCAAGATTTCGGTATCTCCACAATTCTCCCCTTGAGGAGGGGCGAGGGAAGAAGCAGAAGGATCAGAACTGTAGGCATAAATAATCTCTTGCAAAACTGTATGCAGAAATCCCAGGGGTTTGCAGTTCAGCACTGGAGTACTGATAAATATATACTTGCAAATTGTTGAACAATCAGGGATCAAACGAGTCTGATTTACATGCCACGACAACATAACTGTTGGACTCCAAGCTGTTGTGCCAAACCATAAAGTACAGACAATTCCCCTATCAAAATAAACTGCTCGGTTTTGTCTGTCACTCACTTTTTAGCAGGAGACTTTCACTCTGTACAATGTTTCTGGTTTTGTCAGGCTGGTGATGGTAGGGCCCTAACTGGCATGCTATATTCCTGTGAGAAATGGGACAGTCTTCTTGCTTGCTTTCCTGTTTTTTCAGTCATTTCTGGGAGATGGGGATCAGGGTTATAAAAGCTAAGACAGCTTCTGTATTAATGGTGCCAGATTCGGCTTTGACAGAAGGTCGGAGCCACTGATAAATATCGAAACTGGCACTCGAATCCGTGTCTCCCGTTTGTCACTGTGTTCCTCACTGTGCAGCCTGGCTTACCTGAGGAGAGGTATTTCACATCTCCTTATTTCTTGGCATGGTTAAAAGCTTCAGACTTGCCAGCTCTGGGGTGCTGGCATTGCTCACTCACTCCCCCTCCACCAAGCAAACTCCCAGATATTCGTGCTGCCTTCTGTAGCTGATCTGGGTAATGGCAACATGTCCCTTTGTTGGCAGATGGGCTGCAGAGTCGGCTCCCAGCCCAGAAGAGGTTTTCCAGATTTCGTAGCTGCTTTCCTTTGTTTGCTTTCCTTCCCATTCTTAATGTTCAGGGTTAACCTGTATTGCTTTACTACTTGGATTATTTTAAAAATTCTTAAGGTGGATCTGTGTCTGCATTGTCTTGATTACGGCAAGATTTAAATTGCACAATACTGTTTAAAGAAAGCTTACAGAGCCTGACAAAGAAAGGCTGCTCTGTTCTTATCATATACAATGCCTGCATTCACTCTAACCTTTTGCCTTAGACCACACAGGTAATGTAATCAGCTGGGGGGGGAATGCTGTCTGTTGAATATACTCCTTTCTGGTTTGCATTTGTTCTCCTTGGGTTCTCTGTGCTTCTGGAAAATTCTACATTTACTCTTTTACACAAAATTCCAAAAGTAAAGATGCAAAGTCTCAATTTCAGTCAGTTTTGCTTTTTCTCTGTGTGACCTTTCATATCTGCCTTTTAAGCTCTTATGTCTGGGTTTTTTTATGTTAAATCTAAACTCCAGATTTGCAAAACATTTTTTGTATCAACTTGCAGTTGTTGTCTTAGTGTTGAGAATTTCTACTTGAAAATAACTCTTTTCAATAGTATTCAAAATGATACTGGTACCTAGTAAAGGTATTTTTCTTTCCATTTACTTTTTAGACCTCTTGAGTTCATAATAAAGCTTGATTATATAGTTCACCTTTACCACTGTGTATTGCATCCTGTCATTTAATTACAAAATGGCTTGCGTGGCATGTATAAAGTGAGGGCATTTGTGCAAAGTGAAGAACAGAGAGAGTGATGGAAGCCTGGCTGTCCTGTGATGTTTGTGTTTTGGTGAGAGCGATGTAAACCTCTCATAGGTGACTATAGCTTCCTAGCCAGGACCAAGCTTTCCTTCTGTAACTACTTCTGTTGCACTTATTGTTGGCTGAGATTATTTCAACACACAATTTACTGTAGTTTCTGGCTTGGAGTCCTTCGTGTGGGACCCAGCTGTTTCCCCTCCTCCCTCCCTTCCACTTTGAAGGCTTTTGGATTTCAAAGATTTTGTTTCCCCTTTGTAACTAACTAGGAAACTTGCCTCATACTTTCAGGTTGGATGGGTGATCCCTTGAAGATTTTTGCATCCCATCTTGTGGATGGGAAGATTATAATAGAGAAAACTTCTTAGGTCTCCAGTGAATGTGTTGATAGAACTTCATGTGGTGGTGAGGATGTCTTCTCTTCCTCCATGGAGGAGCTGCTCTTTGAGAGCTGCTTGGGAGTCTGATTTTCTTTTTTTTTTCCTTTTTCTTTTTTTTTAATGAGATAAGTGGTTTCTACACTCATTTGTAGAATTTCGTATCTGGAAAACTCTCCTACTTTGGTGCAGTTTCACCTTCTTTGCACTGTGCTGACTAAAGATGGAGGCTGCTGTCCTTCCTTCTTGCCCACATTACCTACTTTTGCACTAGTACAGCTGTGCGAGGTCTTCCATATTGGACACCTCATTGCTGTGGGCCTGTTACCCACATCTGCAAAGTGTTAAGTCTTGATTCCCTGCCCAGGTGTTGCATGGGCAGTAAATTGGGAACAGCTGCAGCTCAAGCAGATAATGAAAAAGAAGCTACTTTGGAAAGGTTTTGGAGAGGCAGGCTGAAGAAAGCTTTAGAAAGAGCAAAGTGAGGAAAGCAGTTACAGAGAGGGAGTTTGAAAGCAGTGGACAGGTGACACAAGGGCCTGAAGCTGCTTGGTTAGCAGAGGCCAGACTGAAAGCCAGAAGCAGCATCTGGCCTGTGCTCCTCACATGCCGTGGAAGGAGAAGTGGCAGCCCTGCACTTGAGGGAAATAAGGTTAGTAAAATCCAGCATGGGGAGGGGCTTGGGTTGGGGTGAGCAGTTTTGGGATGTGACTTCAAGCTTGAGAGGATCCCTCTATGTTATGGGGAGAAGTCAGATTCCAGAGACAGGAGCTGGTGGCTGTGCAGGGCACTGGGCTGAGCTGGTAACAGCCTGGGGCTCCAGTGTAGCTTCTGCTGTTAACTGGTGGGCAGCTTAGGGCAGGTAGGAGAGTTGGAAAGGAACAGAGATCCATGAATGTCAATTTTGTAAAGGTGCTCATGTCCCAGGGATATGTGAAATGGTGTCAAATGTGAAAGCTCTCTCCCCCTTCAGATGAGAAGCCTTGCTATCTTCTGTGAACTGGGTGAATGTGGTATTTCAAAGAAAGAGAGATGGACTGGAGAAAAACTGCCATATTTTGTTTGCTCTAGTTAAAATTAGTCCTGATGGACAGCTTTCAGAATTAATACAGTTCTTGGCTAACAACAGAACTGCCTCCTGGTACAGTGAGCCTCTAGAGCTTTACCAAGCAGGCGTGTCACTAACAGGCCCGTGTGGGAGCCCCTTCCCCTCCCTGCAGCCAGTCTTTTCCACTAATCGTCTGAGACGCAGACATCCAAGTGTGTGTTTCCTTCAGCTCTCTCAGGCATTACCTCTTCCATGAGATGGGTGAAATGAAGGAAAGAGACGGGGAGAGAACTGTCGCCGTAAGAGGAGAAATATTCTGTCATGAGCTTCCCTTACAACTCGCCTCTTAGTTGTTACAGACTCGTTTGTGTGCCTTGGTATTGTTTAACCAGACGTTTTCTGTTTTATAAAAAGGTTTCCAAACACTTCCCTTTCTTATTTCTGGACATGTGACCACAGCCTTGGGAATGCTTTATCGCCTGAAAGCTGTGGTGTGTGGTTAGCTGTGTCTCTGGGCCATCCTTAATGGTGAAACTCACAGATAGCACACTCTGTGTGTGTTGTAATCTAGTGTTCACATAACTTGTTTCAAATAAGCCAAACATGTTTCGTGTCCTTGCTTTTTAAGCCTGCCTTCTTGAGGGAAGAAGATCTGTGCAGCCATTTTCACTTATCCTCTAGCCTTCAACTGTATTAACACTCAGCATTTCTAATCCTAATAGTTAGGACAAAAAGGGTCCGAACCTTGTATGGCTTTCTGTGCCTTTGAAAATGAGGTGATGTTTTTCAGACTGTAGAGGTGAAAGTGTGAAGCTGTCCAGTGGTGATTCTGCTGGAGGCATTTCTTGCAGAAAAAGGTTTTTTGTGACCATGTTTGCTTCTTTGTTCTGCATTCTAGTATCAGAAACTGATAGAGTGAATGAAATACTGGGAATTGAACCTTGTCCATTCAGAAATAAGATCAAAACTGATACAACTGGAATGAAAGCTGCTTATATTGAGTTTTAATTGACCCATGACCTCTACAAGTTGATGATGATGGTTAGAAAGATATTTAGTCACTTATTACTTGGCATCAGTTCTCCCATTTCACTACTCTCTTCCTTGATTGCTGCAAAAGACAATTTTCAGCTTATGCAGCAGATTGTCCTTAGGATTTACATGTTTACATATTATACTGTTTATTGAGTTGACCTTTATTGTATTACTTAACTACTTAATGCTAATTTAATTTAAAAAAAGAAAGAAGGTAATGGCTTACG